GAACAAGAATCCGATGACTCCAGTAGTAGCCCGGCTGATGATGACCGCGAGGAGGAGGGGAGCGACGCCACTGATTAGTATATGCATGTACAGTACTCGTAGAGTACAGAGTACTCGTACCCTACGAGTACGAGTACTTACAATTGTAATCGGTTTACATTTAGTTCTGAAAAGTAGAAAACCGAGGAGATACATGCACATAAACTCAGCAGCTAGATACGTATGGAGGTATAGTACTCGTACAGTACGAGTACAATGATATGAACAGGGGTATATAAGACGACGGGCGTAAGTGTTTCTACTATGGAAAATACTGCGAAGAAGTATGAAAGGGTATATAGCGTGGTATTGCCTGACTGTGGTGATGAATAGCTATTACGAGGATACAACAAAAGTGAGAAGCTCCCGAGGCTATCGCTGCCAAATGCGAGTATCTACCAAGTATCTACTACAGTTATACAAAGGCTACTCGTCATCTATGGGGTACTGATAGACCATGGGAGCTACGTCGACTACTATCACCACTACTCTCTTGAGATGTATTATTGTAGGTCTACTATTTACCTACGACGATGAAGCAGACAAATAGAAGTCAACTCGACTCTCCAGACAAGAAACCCGAGACAGGAAAACAGACACCGAAACGGAAAGACACGACAAGAGATCACGCTTCGTGCAAATAGAGAAGGGGAGGAATGAAAGACAGAAATCAAGAGAGGCAAAGGACAAACTTGAAGAGCGCGAATGACCGGTACATTGTTGAGAGTGCGAGGGTCCAGGAGGAGGTGGTGTTGCTGTCACTGGTCAGTTTGATGGCGGATGTTGGCTGTGGATGTTGATCAGCGATCGATTTTGTGAGCTGTTTTGGGAAGACGTTACACTAGAAAGTCTCACGGGGAGCAAGCTTCTATTAGCGGGAAGTAGATTGAGCCTGTGATGGGGCTAAAGCATGGAGAAGTAAGATGAGGACAGTGTTGAAGAGGGGAGGGAGTAGAAGAGCTCTACAGACAGGGGCGACTCCATGTATGATAGTGTGAGTGTTGAGGGCGGTCTTCTCAATTATTCGTGTCATGCTTCGTAAGCTGTAATCAGGTCAGTATGAAGTCGTCTCGCGAGGACGAGGAGGACATACAGTTTACACGCGAAGTACTGGACGACCTGCCCGTCACCAGCTCAAGAAGGGACACTAAAGGCAGATCTGATTCAGACCTGCTGAGAGCCCCGCGAGAATATGATGGAGGCGCTGCAGCTGCAGCACCTCGGGCGAGGAATGACTCTCTGCCGGAGGTACAGGGCAGAGGGGTGGAAGGAGGCGCCCCGACCATGAAAGCACGAGGAGGAGGAGCAAACGTAGCGCGAGTGCCTTGAGCCGTGACAGTCTCCGGGACGACCGTATGGCTTGGAAGGGGCGAAAATGGAGGTGCGCCAAGCAAGAAGGCCCGAGGCGGAGATACAAAGGCGGTTCGGGTGTCGGCCCTGGAGTAGTTGGCATCACCAGCGGAAGCAGGGACGGTATCGAAGCGAATTGTTTTGGTTACCCTGGGAAGTTCAGAAGAGGACTCGTTCTGGGCATCGGCATCTTCGTCAACCTGGGATGATAATCAGTGAGGGAAGCAAAGACAGAGGGACAGGTTGACTCACTTGATCACCGGTGCGCTTAGTGCACCTGGGAGAGGGCGGGTCAACGGGCAGAGCGACATCCTGGTGGGGAGGAGTGAGGATGATGTCGGATGCGGGGGAGGAAGATGTAGATGATGAAGAAGAAACTTGACGAGGCGCTGAAACAACGAGCTGAAGAGGCGGGGTGACGCGCGTACGCTTGGGGATACGAGCCAGTTCAGATTCGGTATCGTCGTTCGGGACCTGATGATATGGTCAGTAACGGCAGCCGTGATTGAGATGAGCAGACGCACTTCGTTGATTCTCCGCTTGAGAATGGTTCTGACAGGAGGAGGGCCTCGAAGGGAAAGACGAGCTGGAGGGGCAACCCGCGGAGCAGAAGAGAAAGAAGGCTTGGGACGGATGGCGATGGCTCGATCAGAGCCGACAGGAGACTCAGCACGGCGGATGACATCTGGAGCAAAGACAGAGCGAGAGGACGAGGCGGTGGCAGTAGCAGGTGTGGCACCAGAAAGCGCGTTGCAGAGAGCAGCCACCGAGACTCGCGGGCCATTGATGACGGCACGGGTAGAGCCATTGGCGGTGGGAATTCGGATGGCACCGGACGTGACCTTGATCTGCTCTCGGTGACGAGCAATGACTTGAACGCGAGTAGAGCCACGGGGGTAGGGAGCGTGGGTGGCGTTCATGAAGTCAAGCTGACGTCGTCGAGGAGCAGGGCCAGAGGATGGTCGGGACTGAGCTTGGCGGTCGGCGTGAGTACCGGTGGCAGAGGTGATGTTAATATTATCGATACCAGCGCCTCGGCCTTGACCAAGAGCAGTGGAAGTAGAAGAAGAGGCGGAAGAGAGCGCGGATTGGCGATTGGCACACTATTTTCCCGTCAGCCACTTTTCAAAAGGCGGGATGGGCGCCCAAAATACTCACGGTACGGGCGGGCTCATCGAGCAAGGTGGTCTTCCTGACAGTCATGAGGTAGTCGTCTTCCACCCAGTGGGTAGACGTGGTGAGCGCGTCGTGCGCGTGGAAGACGTGATTGACCGCGACGTCGATGCCGTCGTCGCTGTGGACGAACGCAGGAGCGCTGACACTGCCAGCGGGAACTACCTGCACGCTGCGCTCCGAGGAGACGCCAGCGTGCGAGGCGTGGCTGACAGGCTCCGTCACGGCAGACTCACGGGCAAAAGAGGCGGGGGTGGCGGCGAACAAGGTGGCGACCCTGGCGCGGAGGTGGTTGATGGCGTTGAACATTGTAAGTGCTGTGTGTTGTTTCAGTGTACAAAGTGGTAAACGGTCTGATAGAGAAGATAGAGAAAGCGGGATGCAATTGGGGGCGTCTTATATACGTGGCGCGGGATCAGACACGGTTGACTGGACTTTTGATGGGAAAGTGACGCGTGGTTTGATCGTACCTGGCTGCATCTCGCACCGCCACATTGGGCTGACGAGATGTGCATGTGTAGTCAGTTTCGTACAGGTCAGTATGGGAAGACCGTCGATGTACCTCGATGCATGGATAGAGATACGAGGCGGTGGTTGTCCAAGTCGGTAAACGTAGAATGAATTGGTGCTGCCAACATTTTCATGCAACAAACCTTGCCGACAGTCCACTCGAGATGACGCCTGTGTACCCGCTGCTCTACTGGCGTACCTCAACCAGCTCGTCGATCCACTTCAGAGCCCCCTGCACAATCACAGGCATAGACCCAACGGGTGCTCTCGTCTTGGGGTCTCTGAGCCCATGCGCCGCCCCATCCACATAATCCGTCCCCACCTTCAGCCCGAGCTCTTTCATGTCCCTCTCTATAGCCTTGCTATCCTCTACGGGAACCATTCCGTCTACTGTGCCGTGTACTAGATAGGCGGGACAGGTCTGGGGGGTGATGGGGAGGAGGAGGTGTTGTTTGTCGGTAGGTATTAGAGACAGGCGCTCTGAGCGAGGGGTTTGCGCGAGCTTGGCACCCAGGCCGGGGGATGAGAGGAGGTTGTCGAGAGTCGTAGCGTTCTTCAACCAATGAGCAAAGAGCCCGAACCGATTATCAAGGTCCCTCGCTACAAGATCTGTGCCAAATATTACAGGTGAATCAGAGATCACCTTGCCTCCTCCTTTTGTCCTCTCCAGCTCCTCTGCCTTGGCTTCGTCGTATTTGTAGTACCCCATATGCGGTGTGACATCGTACGGGTTCACCCAAAAGTCACCGAGCCAGTCTCCTCCCTCGCCATAGAAATCCAGCCAGCCGAGAGGTCGAGGGACGACGGATGTCAATGTAGCAGCCGCCTTGGCAGGGTAGTTGCCGCCTGAAGCGCCGCTCACGATGATACGTGCAGGATCGACAGAGAGGTTTGCTGAGCTGAGGTAATGGGCGAGCTTGGTATGATGGGACCCGACGTAATGGAATATGGTGTGAACGTCTTGCAGGATATCTTCGGCGGTGCTGGGGAGGAGAAGTCTGTAGTCGGCAGATATGACCAAAATGCCTTTCGCAGGCAATTCTTCTGCATTTCTGGCGGTCAACAGCTACTCTTTTATGCAAATAAAACTCACCTCTCAAGAAGGGTATGAAAAAGCCATCATTCCTAGACCCGGTGACTATACCTCCACCATGGAAATGGACGAGCGCAGGAACTTTGCCGTGTACTCCGTACTTGGTGGGAAGATAGGCATCGAGCTTGGTATCGTGCATGGGGTCGTAGACGAACGTCTTTGGCTGTGGTATATAGTCGACGTTCATGATCTATTGGACAAGACAGGTCAGGCTCTTAAGAAGATGCGTGGCTTGATGGAGCTCACAGAGATAACGGCTTATCGATTGGCTAGCTGAGGACACTCTTTACGACGGACGAGATGAGCTGTAGCAGAAATTATCTTGAGAACATGTCACTAGGAGATGGGAGCCACTACTGACTGGTGTAGGATGCAAGCACCGGAGGAATCCGGTGGTGAGGAGACTGGATTGATGTGCAGTTTGATGTGTGGGCGCGCGAACGAATGAGATCTTAAGCCGCGTCTATAACCGCTCGCCTAAGCGTCGACTACGGCCCAGCCGACTGTTGCTGGTTTGAACTGCCCGCTGGAAGACTCTGGAACAGTTTCAACCGAATGGAGTTGATGAGTGTACATATATTGATTTGGGTGTGCATAAGTGGGATATACAGTACTCGTACTCTAGAGTAGAACCACTTGGCTCTCGAGACGCGCGAGCTCTATATGCTTCGCAATCTACAGCGTAAATGTATAGACAACAGCTTACAATCTTTGGCTTACCAGCCATACTACCAGCTTCCTATTTTGTCCTAACAACTCTCTACTTCACAATTCCCCGATTGAACGACTCTCCCAGGTCAGACGCCTGGTCTCCACTTCAAATCTGAACAGGACACTATCCTTTCGCCGGTACCCCACTACCCTTCCTCTTCTCGCCCGGAGCCCTGTTGTGCACAATCATATGTCGTTTGAGTTGATCGGGTCTCGAAAACTTCTTGCCGCAGCCGGGATGTGCGCAAGCGAATGGACGTTCGCCGGTATGGGTACGAATCTGTCAACACGTCAGTGATCGCACCGAGGCGGAAGAGTCTAGATCAAAAGACGCAAAGACGTACGTGCTTGGTAAGGTTGGAAGCTTCGACGAAACCCTTGTCACAGTGAGGGCAAACGAAAGGCTTCTCGCCGTTATGGGTTCTCTGCGCGAACGTCAATTAGAATCAAATCGCGCAAAAGGTGATAAGACCGCACGTACCATGTGGATCGTCAGCGATGAAGAGATGGCAAAGCTCTTGCCACATCCTGGATGCTCGCACTTGAATGGCTCTATAAAATCTTGTTAGTCATGAAACATTCGTACAAAAAATAGACTGACTCTCTTGAGCATGTCTCCGCATATGCGCCGTCAACGGAGCTGCTTCACTAAAACTCTGCTGACAGACCCCACAGACAAAAGGTTTGTGTCCGATATGACTTTGCAAGTGCCTCAATACCTTTTGCCGACTCTTGAACACTCGCCCCTCTTCGCCGCCGCATCCATCCCAGTGACAAGTGTAGGCGTCTCGTCCTTTGGGGATATGCTCTTCGGAAAGGTGGTCCATGAGGGAGGACGTATCCGGAAACGAATGGGGGTGAAGACACTCCGGCCAGAGACAAATGAGAGGCTTGCCGGGAAGATTCAAATTTGGAGATGGGGGAGACGCGGAAGGGTCTGTGTCGACGGTGGAGGGAGGAGTGGGGAGGCCGTGACGGGTGTCAGAGGCGTGGTGGGGATGAGGATGGACGTGACTGCAATTATTGGAATGGTGCAGTTGCGCCTCGCGAGGATCGATATGGTGATGGTGGTGATGCTTAGGCGGCTGTTGGTTCTGCATATCATGCTCTGTCGGCCATCCCACTATATCCGGTGGGATACCAAGATGCTCCTCGAGCACATGTCGAAGTATGGTACCAGGGCTGAAGGGCTCGCCGTTCGGGTGAACATGCTCGGGCCCAGCCTGAGGGGGAGGGTGTGGCGGATGGGTGGGATTGTGAAAGACACTGGTGAGGGATGCAGGTATATCGGTGACTGGAAAACAATCATCCCACATACAAGACAGCAACGGGTCTTGCGCAATGGCAGGCGTCGCACGTAATGACTCGAGCTGCCGCTGATAGTCCTGCTGCAGTTTGGCAGTCTGCGCAAGCTGCTGCTGGTGCTGATGATGTGGCGACGGCGACGGAAGTGGAACAGTGGGCAGATGAGAAGATTGTACTTGCTGCTGCGCCTGCTGAGCCTGGAGTAAAAGCTGATCTGGCCTCTGCGCCGAATTCCAAGCACTCAGATGGTCCGCCGCGACATGGGCAAGAAGATCAGGCATGGAGCCAAAGACAAGATGACAGTTGCCCCAGTGGCAAATGTGCGAAGGCGGTATCGACCCGTCTGCGGTGGACGAGGCTGAGGCGATTGGCTGGACTTGGTTGTCCACGGATAAAATAGCGGCGAGCGGGTCGAGGGGTGGGGGGTGAACGGCGCTGTTCTCGGTGGGGCAGACGGGCATGTTACAGTCTGGTTGATTGCAGCATTCAATCTGTCGAAAAGAAAATCGTGATCAGCCAATGAGAATGAGGGAAATGGACAAAGGGGAGTTGTCATCCAACTCACCAGCTGTTGTATAGCATCGCACCCTTCTGGCGTCCCCGCCCATTCCTCTAGCGTTTGAGCAGTCTGGATCTCACTCATACGTCTGTCTCCGCTCGCTAAACTGGGCTTTCCTAGACTCTCCTCGTGTTTGACCCCTTCCTCGTTCTTCCCGTCGCCTCCTTCGAGATGCACATGCTGGTCACAGCAATAGTCGCCGCTGCAACAAAACGTATCGAAGTGGCAGTCGGAGGTGCACCCTGAGGGTTCGTTCAGATGGTGGTGATGTGTTGAAAAGTTTGGGCCGCGGGGAGTGATGGGCGGGCGGGGGTGATGATGGGATTGGGATGACGAGCCGCCGTGGTCCTGGTCGCAGCAGACGGCGGCGTGCGCCCACGGGCTGGCGAGAGGGTGATAGGGGTGGGCCATGTTTCCAAGAGTCGTATAGGAAAGACAAGACAAGAGAATTAATGATGTATTGTTCTCGAAGAGTGGCGTCGAGGGCGGAAGGAGGCAGAAGTCACCTGGCGTGCTATCCGCTTTTTGGTCTTTTTTGTGCTCGACTGGGCGAGGCTAGATTCCGAAGAGAAGGGAGGATGTCGGAATGGGCCAAGGGGGGGTGTTGCTTTCGGGTTTCGATTCACAGAAAAGGGGCAGACACCAAGTGGCACTTGCAGCGTCAGTGAGGACCCGCGAGGTACTGCGTTCGGGGTGCTGCTGGCCTTGTATATAAGCGAGACGATCCCATGATTCTGTTTTTGTGACGCTCACAGATATGTTGCTGTGTCTCCTGGGCCATGCGTATTCACTAGAGCCTCAGGTCATCAAACGTATATCTGTGGATATGCGATGTGTTCGGCTGTGTCTGTCACAACACGCTGTTGACAACCAACCGGGTGGACATTTTCGGAGAAAGTTGACAAATTGGCGATAAATATCGGCGGCTGCCACCAAGCCACACTTGTCTATGACCTGCAAATAACCTGTGCCTACATATGACCCACCATCATCTTGCGCGGTCGAAACAATTGAGATAACTTCGCAGTGGTGCATTGCCATTCTGTGAACGATATCTAGCACTAGTATGTGATACTGCTCACTACAGTTTACAAGAGACAATCATTTGAAAAGGATCGCATGGCCTAAAGTTGTTCCACATCTCGCTATGGATCTCGCTATCAAACAACCTCTTACTCATCGAGATCCATAGCCCCATGGAAGGACGCCAAATAGCTCTTGTACTCTTTCACTTCATCCGGTGATACCGAGACATCGAAGTCACACGGTAACAGCTCCAAAACCTCTTCATCATCTTCATCATCACCTGCGCCTCGGAATGCCGTGCCCTCGTATGTACCTTTGAAAGTGAGTTGGTCTGGACCATCACTTGTGAGGGTACCGCTGGTATAATAGTAGAAAGAGCTTGGGTCACCATTTCCGTCTATTCCTCCTGGGACAGTCGCCTTGGTGGCAACGACAAACGGCAAGTAAGATTCTGATAATTTTGATTGTAGCGCGTGGTGAGCTGTGTCGAGTTTCCCGGCAAAGTCATTCTTGTTATACAAGTTATCCAGCACTTCTTCAGTAGACTTAGCCATCTCATCGTATGCGCTGCTTTCAAGCTCAGTGATCTTTGACCTCAACTCCCGCTTTGCCTTGTCCCCGGCTCTCTTCACAATTCGCGCATGCTGTTTGTTGACGATATCCGTCACTGTCATCGGATCCCACGGATTGCTGCTCGAAGGGCCTGTTGATGCCCGCCTTATAGGTGCAATAGGCTGCCACATATCAGCAGTCATTCTCGCTTCTATATTCGTATCGACAACTCCGGTATGATCAGGCCGCCAAGTCCTCCAACTGTACGACACTTTGGCTTGCAGTCCATCGGGGGTAGCCATAACTGTCCCCAAAGTTCCGTTCACCTCCAGAGTACCCCAATCAGACACTCGAGAAGTGATCTTGCTGGCGACGGAGGGGGCATTGTTATTGAGGCGGTCCGTCATGGAGGTGACGAGCTGTGAGCGAAGAGGAAACTGGCTGGCTCGTTGGCTTAGTTGCCGCCCAACATAGGGGTTTGATTCGCGGATAGATCGGATGGCAAGCGCTCTGGGTTGCTCCTCCGACATGCTCGGGAATATTCGTATACGACTAGTGGTCGGTTTCTTTCTTTCGTGCGGTAATTTATATATCAGCAACCACTCCATATTCGGCGATCCTATGACGGCGAAGGCGCTTCCAAAGACCGACTTTGCTGACTCTGAAAATTGCTAGGATTCCGAAATCTCGACGAGAGAATGGAAGGATGCGCTGAACGAAGAAATTCTCTGATTTTCGAAGAGAATCCTTGGCGCTCTTGCCTCTTTTCCCACAGACAGTAGAATACAAGGGGTCTCGTGCAAAGGATTGAGCACGTTTCTGACCACACTCTGCTGGCTCCATGACCATCTTTTCATCAAGACAGAAGAGCAGAACGCCGACGGCTTAGGATCTTTTGAATGCCGAGTCCGAAATAAAGCCGACACTGTCAACCTTTGATAGGTAGAAGACCTGCCATCTGCATCCGGCAAAGACATTAATGAATGATGCATATCCTACAGCACACAAAGCCCACTCAACTCTCTACTTCAGACTTCTCCTCCACTTGATGAAAGCCACCAAGTTCTCGTACACCTCCTCCCCTCTCACTCTCAGCTCTGCATCCTTGCGCTTATCGACCTTCTTTACCTCCGCCCTAACCTTGCCGACCAAACCCGCCAAGACCTGGGCATAGGCCTGTTGTTCAAAGACGGCGTCGTAAGAACGGGTCTCGTCAGAGTAGATATCGATGATGGCGTTGAGGAGGGAGATGAGGAGTTCAGGGGACGAAGCGGAGGGGAGGAGGGAAATCAGGTGGGAGGAGATCAAAGTGTTTTCGGATGGAGAAGTAGAGGAGCGAGAAGCGAGAGAAGAAAGGATTTCGATGGCGCGGGATTTGGAAGATTCATCTCGAAGGAGAGGGATGATGTCCATCAGAGCTTGTACTTGATCTTGCTGGACATTCTACAGACGCTCATCAGCTATGCTTGAGACTAAACAGATGTAGGGACTTACAACGACCTCAGAGTTGACCTTGACAGCACCCCAAAGACCTCCAAGAGCCATTTGCATGATCTCCATTCTCATTTCCTGACCCTTCTTATTCAATATTCCCTGATCTCCTCCAACAGCGCACACGATGCCAAACATGGAATCCCACAATCCCTGCGCAGGCACCTTTTCCCTGATAGATGCCACGGCCTTAGGGCCATCGGCGTTGTCGATGGAGGCGACGGCGGTCAAAAGAAGGTTGTTGAGTGCTTCAAGAGCGTGGAGATGGAGGACGGAGAGTACAGCTGTGGTGGGGGGATGCAGGGAAGGTTCGCTAGTAGCCGGAGGGAAGGACAAAGCTAAGGGTTGCGAGAGGGCGGTAAGTCGTTCGGGCAGATTGAGCGCCTTCAGCAAGTGGGAGAGGGTAGCGCCTGGGTTGATGACGACCCCGGCGGCCTCCATCTCTACTTCCGCTCCAGGCTCACGAGCACGAGAGATGAGCCCCTCATCGTCGACCTCGTCATCGTCCATATCGGCATCCTCGTCGTCCTCTACGACCTCAGCAGCACCGCCTTCTTCAGCGATCTCGGCAGCGACCTCTTCAGCGTCTTCAAGACCAGCGCAGATGTTTGTGAGAACCTCGAGGGCGGCGACTACGGTTGAGAGGTTGCGTTCGATGCGCTCAAGGGCGACGTCGGTAGATGTTTTGTGGTCGGTTTGGGGAGAGTTGCTGGATAATGTCTCTGTCGGAGGAGGCTACAAGTCCATCAGCATTGCACATGAATGACTGCCAGTCCAATTACTATTTGCTGCACCAACTGGCTCACACGCTCACAAACGTCTCCAAGCTTCACATCCAACAGTCCATTCACCAAAGGCAAGATTGTCGACCCCGTCAACTCATTGATCCCAACCTTCTCATCCGCCCTCGAGCCCGCTCGGATGATATTCCTCAGAACTCCACAGACATGGACTCTTCTCAGCAATGCCCGGCCGTCGGGAAGGTCATCCTCCGCACCCTGAGCGGCAGAGTCCTTAGACTTTTTCCTGTCTTTTCGTGCCTTCTCTCGCTCTTTCTGGGCGTTCTCAGCCGGAAGGTGGTCTTCTTGAGCGACAGAGATGAGGATGGGAAGGGCAGTGGGGTGGACAATGAGCGATTTGCGGAAGGGAAAGTTGTCCTGTGATAGGGCGAAAAGGGTTTGAGCTTATCAAATGATCAGCCTCATCCGGTATTATACTTCAAGGACTCACCGGCAGCAGCAGAGACACCCAACCCAAGCTTCTCTCTTCCTTCCAAAATCTTTACAAGCAATATTTCGCAGCTCAAGCCGTTCACACTGGCCAAGGACTTGGGTCCAGCCTCGGCAAGACACCAAAGAAGAGAGATGACATTCTCGGAGAGAGAAAGAAGATGTTTTCGAGCTTGGTATGATTCGTCGGTGTCGGGGACAGTGGAAGTCATAATTTGATCAACAGTAGTGGTGATCTTGATGTATTGTCAGAATGCTTCCTCTACGTTTCACTCACGACTCACCTTGCCTATGAGGACAGCAAGGTGCGAGATGATGCCCTTGTTGGCCATTTCACCACAGAGCTCCCTTCCACCGTCGATAGCCAGGTTCCTATGATGTACGTTGGATACCGCTACTGGAGGCCAAACGTCAAGAGACATACCTCAGAGCTCCAGAGGCCTCCACGACGACCTCATCAACATCGTCAGTCAGTCTCTCGATCAGAGCGCCGACGACATTGTTGCCCTGGAACAGTCGTCTGGTAGCCGCGTCATTTTGAATCAGATTTGAGATAGCGGCACATGCCCAGATTCTGTCCGCGTATTCCGTAGATCCCAGCTGGACACATTAATTAGCATGCATCATCCCAGCTAGACTTCTTTCTCACCTTCTTAAGAACAGGCAACATCTGCTCGGCTTTGGCAGGATTGGCTTTGCCCTCACCCTTGCCCGCTCCGAGATGGGCATCCGGGACTCGGACAGGATTGTGCCTCCATCCTTGGGTCTTCTTCTTTGTCTGAGCTTTTCCCATTGTGTTTTATGATATAGCCAGTGCAGATGAGGCGGACAGACAATTGAATTTTTGGTGGAGGCATCAAGGTGGTGGCCGCCGACGACGAGGACGCGAGCTCAGGTACAGTTACGTAATTCGCCACTGTCAAAAGTTAGTGGTGGCTGCTGGCCCTGGCTGCTGCGCGAAAGACATGCATGATGATAATGATGAGCCAGATATGAGCTCAATGACGAGCCAAGGTGAGCCCTGAGATATGTAGCAAGGCATAGTTCGTGAATGGTGAAGTAAAGTAATACATAACAGCCCAACACCAGTCGAAGACTGCATCAATTTAATAATGTACTCATCACTGCGCGTTCTGCGAAGCACCACCAGCATCCCCAGCCCCAGCACTAGTAATGCTAGTCAGCTCGCCGAACTTGCACTACTGGATATGAGACAGCTCACAAGGTGCTCAGGCCACTGGTGCCTCCCGAACTGCTGACGGGGTAGAGATCGGATTCCAGATCCTGCCTCTTCCTCAACTCGATAATTTCAGATTCGCGTTTGGCGAGCTCGGCTTCGGCAGCTTCCGAGCGCTTCTTGAAGTACTCGATGGCGTCTTTCTCATAGTAGTGGTGAATCTCGCCATCACTTTGATTGTACATCAGCAAGAAGTTTCAAGTAGGGAATCGAGGAACGCACCCGGAAGAGCGGACAGCGATATTGGAAGGGATATCACCGGGCTGCAAAGCAGAGGCAGAAGAGGCGAGGAGGACGAGAGAGGCGAAGGAGACGATGGTGAACTTCATCTTGATCGGTGATGCGGTGAGAGTATTTGATGAGTAGTAGAGTAGAGTAGGTCGAAAGGTGAACAAAAGCTGAGCTACCAGAGCTGATGAAATGTGAGTTCGCAGAACTTGGGGAGCAGCTTGAGACCGCTATCCTGAGGGCTTTATATACCATGCATGACGCCCACCATTTGTTCTAGACCACAACTCGTGTCCTTCAAATCAACATGCGTCTCTAGGTTACATTGCCATGTCGCGTTGAGATGCGTCGTCATGGCAGAAAGTGTCCTTGAGACGGTTACTGACTTACTGGTTGCTTCGTTTGGTTTCTATGACGAGCAGCAACTCAAGCAGCCGTCGTGTCGCCGGGCCCACATGTCCTACGTCATGATGATTTCCGTCATGATGATTTCCTGGAGCGTAGCAACACAAGCTTGGTCTGGCGTCCGATGTTGTTGGAGCATGGTGTCTTCGTTGCTTGTGCGTACGTGTGTAACCAGTTCGTGTCTGCTCGCTCTGATCTCTTCTCAAACTGTAGTACTAGACGCGCACTTTATACGTCTGCATGCAGTATATGCATTACTACTTCACATCCACAAACCCCGAACGAACGTCTCACCTTCCACGATCTTATTGTACGAGAGGCTCAAAGCAGGACCGGCTCCCCAGCTCTATCAAACTCGACAGCTTTACCAGTCTGGAATGAGTGAGTCAAAGCTTTGGCGATCAGAGCCGCTTGAAGACCGTCATACGCTGACGTTGGAGATGCTACGTCAACGTCGTCTTAGCCACACTGTAATGGGTAGCCGAACATGGGACGAGACTCACGGGTATCGTCCAGGACACAGTCAATGAAGGCTTTTGCTTCGTGGATGAGTGCAACCCCGTAGCGGTCCATGTAGGAGGGCATATCCGCGGTACCAGCTTCGACACTCTTGAACGGAGCTCCAGCAGCCTCTTTTTCCATCTCATCAGCTCACCTCTTCCTTGGCAGAGATGGGAGCACTGACCGTGATAACTTGCTTTCCGCCCTTTCGGTACGCTTCTACCCGACTCTCATAGCCAGCCATCCCGGTTCTGCTTAGATGCAACGTGCAAAAAGAGCCGTTATCGTATTCAATAATGGCGAGGGCGTTGTCGCAGTAGCCTTGGTCGGCCAGCTCGGGGTGGGCGGTGATAAGGCCAGATGCAATAACGCGGGTGGGTTTGACGGGTGTCCCGGAAGGGAGAGAGAGGAGCCAACGAGACATGTCCTGTGCGGAGTCAGTACGCGAGAGGAAATGACATAAAGCAGAGCGCACAATATCATGAATACCGCCGGCAGTCCATAAAGATGCCGCCAGGGGCCTTGGCATAAGATACAAAGACTCCAGTACAGGGTCGTAGGGGTCCATAGAGGTACTCTTGAGGAGGTAAGACTTGCCGAGCTTCGATCCTACAAGTTCGCCTGCAAGGCCATTCAAGGCTTGATCGACTGAAAGCCTTCCATTCGTGAAGGGTCTAGATACTCACAACGCCGAACGAATCCGATCATGACCTTCACTTCGGGCTTGCTACTGGCGGCGTCGACAACAGGCCTGGTATCTTCCACATCGACGGAGATGGGCTTCTCAAGCAAAACATGGAGCCCGTGCTCGATAGCTTTCATGGTGAAGGGGGTGTGGGTGCTAGTGATGGTAGAGATGACTACGGCATCAACGTTGGGGAGGCTGGATACTTGCTCGGGGTCGGCATAACATCTTGCCCCTCGTCAGCTCGTCCAGGAAGGAGAGAGACATGCACCCACAGCACGCCGGGAAGATGATCCTGGACCCATTGGGCGGCAAGGGCACTGGGATGGCCTATAGCGACGATCGCTGCACGGGGAGTGAGGTGATGGAACTGGAAATATGTAGAGAGATGAATGGAGGCGGCTACGAGGTCAGCCCGTTGTCAAGCCAGAGGATTAGGATGCGTACATTGTGTGCGTGGCGCTGGCCCATACGGCCACAGCCAAGGATGGCGACGGGGAGCTTGGGTGAAGAGGGAGCAGACATTTTGATCTCTGGCACTTGCGGTTTGGAGAAGATAGCGTTTTGGTGCTCTTTACAGCTATATAAAGTACATTTAGTATATAACGGCGTACTTCAAGCGTACTTGAGCCTTCTGATTCGGAGCCATAGATTATAGCGAGCCAAAGTCATCCGATGCGGAGGACAATGATGATAGTAGCCAGGAATGGTGCGGCTGCAGTTGTGCATTGAGAAATAGGGGTAGGTGCTGAGAGCCAGGTGAAACAATTGTATTGCAAAGTGGGGTGATTCTGCTGTATTTGCTAATAAATCTCGGACGCGCTCTGCGGCGCTCATACGCACCCTATCGTATATATGAATCATAGCCGGTACCCAAGATCGACTGGAGTGATTGAGAGTGAGCCACAACTCTGGAAACAGTCATATGCTTGGATCCATCAATTCTGCAGAAACGCGCATGCGGCCGTCGCAGAACCAAATGAAAGTGGTTCAACTCGGTTTGCATTCGGCTCACCGAACAAGCGGTCCGGAATCGGGATAGCTTCCGACATCGGGACTCACTTACGAAGAAAATACATATATAACCCCACTTCTCCCCTCCCCCACCACATAAACAATCGCCCGCCATGTCTTCCTACACACTTCGCTGGGGAATCATCTCCACTGGCAGTATCAGCACTTCGTTCGTCGAGGACCTTCTCACGGATCCCACCGACCGTAAAGTCAACGACGTCGCCCACGCAGTCACTGCCGTGGGATCCCGCTCCCTCGAGTCTGCTCAAAAGTTCATCGACAAAATCAGCAGCACCTCCAAAGGCAAGTCCTGGGCTGCCGGCGTGAATGACGGCCGGTTCAAGGACGTCAAGCCTTACGGTGACTACCAGGGCGTCTTTGACGATGCTGTACGTATGGCTCTCTATCCACCCCCTCACCAGCTGACAGAGCCACGTTCCAATCCTGTCCACATGTAGAACGTTGATGCTGTATACATCGGTACTCCTCACATTGTGCACCACCGTAACGCCAAGGATGCCCTTCTCGCCGGCAAGCACGTTCTGTGCGAGAAGCCTTTCACACTCGACCGCGACGAGCTTGACGAGCTTATTGCTATCGCCAAGGAGAAAAAACTTTTTCTTATGGAGTACGTGCATGTGCTCTAAGATCTGCTTTCCCGCTGACTTGCAAGTAGAGCCGTATGGACCCGATTCCAGCCCATTGCCTATGCCATCGAGGAAGTCCTCAAGAGCGGCAAGCTTGGTAAGCCCAAGAGGTTCTGGGCTGACTTTTCCATGGATTGGGGACTTGAGTGTGAGCACTCGTCTCATCTGCTTTGGACTGGGCTGACTTTGTGTAGCTACACCCCACGACGCTTGGATGATGAAGCCCGAATTCGGCGGTGGCAGTCTCCTTGACTCGTCCGCTTACCCCTCCGTTAGTCCGATCCGGCTTTTGCCTCCCTCTTCTCCAAGCTGACCCTTGCTAGGTTTGGGCCATGCTTTGCGTCCACCGCCACCCCCTCAACACCATCAAAGAGCCCAAAGTCGTTAATACCCATCAGACTCTATACAAGCCCACCGGGGTCGACAAAAACTCCCGTTGGCTCGTCGAGTGGGACGGCTTTTGTCTTGCGGCTCTGACTACCGATTTGGACAGCTCGGGATTAAGGGATGCTACCGCGGTTCTGCAGTGCGAGGAGGGTGATCTTGTTATTCCTTGTAGGTCTCTATCCTGAATTGAGCGGTGCAGAGACTGACGAAGAGATAGACCCTCCTTACAAACCCACCCAGTTCACGATAAACCCCAAGCCCGACGGCTACCTCGGCTCAATCACCGAGAAGACCACATACGACTGCCCCCTCGCCCCCGGCGTCAAGGGTTGGGCATACGAGGCTGATGAAGTCGCGAGATGTGTCAAGGCTGGGAAGCTGGAGAGCGAGAGGATGCCTTGGGAGGAGAGTCAGATTGTGCAGGGTTGGGTAGATGAGGTCAGGAAGAATGGGCCAAGCAAGAGTGCTGGGCTTAAGGGCACTGCAGGGCAGTAGTTAGATTGGGGCTCATGGTGATAGACGGAAGTTTAACAAATAAATCTTGGACTGTGTTGGTCCCAATTCTCTCTGTACTGGAAGGCAATGCCTTGAGCGTAATTGTCATTATGACTGTGTCATCGTTGGCATCAGCTTCTTACACAGCACTTCTGCTATCGTCATTCAGACCGTTAAATGTAATTAATAAATTTACGCGTCGACGCGTCAGGAGCGTCAGGAGCGTCAGGAGGGAGCCCCAATATTACCAACGAAGTTGACCGGACTTCATTACGGTACTTTCTTTCAGCACTTCTTCCCTTCCAACTTTGTCACGACCCATACAGAAATGCCGCCAACACGAGGAAGACGAAGTGGGTCTTCAAGAATCATCGTCCCTGTCTCGCCCTGCTGATATCTGCCTAGTGCCGTGTCCGGCTTGTGACGAGCTGATGCCGGAGTTCGACATCAATCCTCACAAGGAAAGGGATTGTCCCGGATTGTTTCCTGGTCAAAGAAATATCGACCACCTGTTTCCACAACCCACACCCAAGGCAACTCCTGCCACCAAACCAGCCTCGACCCCCAAGGCATCCCCTCGAGAAGTATTCGACCTCACCGACTCGCCTCCTCCCAAAGCATCCACCTCTAATCCTAGTACTACTGGTCAAACCAAGATCGGCACGACGCAGAAGAAGCCGGAGAGAAAGTCGTCTGCTTCAGGGCCAGGACCAGAACCGACTGGGAAGCAGGTCAAAGTTGCGCCCATTTTCGGGATGCCCCAGGCTGCGGCCAAGAGGAAAGCTGAGAGTGGAAGAGGTCCTGCGGAAGAGCCGAGTACGGATAAGAGGCAGAAGCAGCAACCTGCGGCTGGACCATCGGTGCCTAAAGTAAACCCTCTTACAGCAGCTCAGCCGTACGTTCCCCTTCAAGTCATGCCATAGGGATGCGCTGACTCTGTTAGACTGGCGGAACGATCACGTCCCTCCGAGATATCGCAATACATCGGCCAGACCGATATTGTGGGCACGGGCAGTCTCTTGAGGGCGCAGATTGAGAGTGGGAAGCTGGTGGGGAGTTGTGTTCTTTGGGGACCACCTGGGTGCGGTAAAACGTGAGTTCATTTACGTCTAGCGAGCGATCTTTCACTGATCGTCTCCGGGAAGAACACTGGCGCGGCTTATAGCAAAGTGCTCTGGTGCGGACTTCAAGGAGCTGTCTGCTACGAGGTGAGCTAGGTATCATTCCCTTTGGCTTTCGACACTTATACCGATATGTTTCGCAGTTCGGGAGCGGCAGATGTAAGACAAGTGTTCGAGAAGGCGAAAAATGGATTGACGATGACTGGCAGGTGGGTATTTCCCACTGGAGTAACCTGTCCAATGCTGACTCGGAGTGAAGACGGACGGTTCTCATGATTGATGAGATCCACCGGTGAGCCGTTGATCATCTCCAGTATATTTGCATAGCTGACATGAGGAAGATTCAATCGTGCTCAACAAGACCTACTGCTGCCATATGTTGAGAAAGGCTGGATTCAGCTGATAGGTGCCACCACCGAGAACCCATCTTTCAAGGTTAATGGTGCCCTCTTGAGCCGCTGCCAGTGAGCGATACATGCCTGTTCCATTGCCCAGCTGACAGACTCTCAGAGTTTTCACCCTTCAAGCCCACACTTCCGAATCTCTCCAGAAGATCCTTCACAACGCTCTGGCTACCCTCGCGCAGTCCGAATCCCTCCCATATCTTCCATCAGACCTCGTGCCCTTCCTCGCCGATGTCTCTGACGGCGACGCGCGTCAAGCGCTCAATGGCCTCGAGCTCGCTTTTCGGACGTGCCAGACCCTCGACGCTGCTGCCCTCGCTGAAAGGGCTGCTTCTAGTAAAGGCAAAGAACGGGACGCTTTCGATATGGATATCGAAGATGCCGAGGATGAAGCAGACAAGAAGAAGCGCGATGGGCAGATTATGGATGCTGTGAGGAAAGGTCTCCAAAAGGGGTATAACAGGACAGGGGAAGAGAGGTACGATATGATCTCTGCACTGCACAAGTGTTTGAGGGGGTCGGATGGAAGTGCTGCGATGTACTGGCTAGCCAGGTGAGCCTGTCTCTTCAGGTGGAGCACGACTAATGGAGCTGTTAGGATGATCACGGGTGGAGAAGATCCGTTGTACATTGCGAGACGATTGGTGGTGGTAGCCAGTGAGGACGTAGGACTGGCCGATGCCCAGGCTTTGCCATTGGTACGTTCTTGTGATTATGCCAATGCGTGATTTGCAATGCTGACCTTGCTTAGGCTATAGCAACTTACCAGGCGTGTCAGATCATTGGTCTTCCAGAATGCCGTATCAATCTTGCCGTAGAACTCACCCTCCAAGTATCTGTAGGAGGATGCTAATATATCAGTAGCATTGCGTAGCTTATCTAGCCGAAGCCGAGAAGTCTACCAGGTCCTATGTTGCTTACAACGCTGTAAGTACCAGTCTCTCAGTGCGTGTATCAAACTGACACATCGTAGGCTGAGCAGCTCACGCAAGAACCGCCTCTTCCGGGCGTCCCGCTACAAATACGAAATGCACCGACGAAGCTTATGAAACAGCTCGGGTACGGCAAGGAATATTCCTACAACCCAGACTATGCGCATCCTGTACACAACGTAAGTCATTTTGATCATCGCAGTACTAGCTATCTGACTCTATTCGTGCTTAGGAATACCTTCCCGAATCACTCCTTCAACACTCTTCCTCTTCCCATGATTCTTCGAAACATATCCTTAAGACTCCTGAAGAGTATGAAGCTTCCAAACGGACTGATGAGAAGCGTTTGAGGGAGTGGAAATTGAAAGAGAATATGGGCAGGAGTGCAGCAGACCAGTAGCTGTGGGCAGTCTATGGAGTGACACAGAGTAGAACTCTCTTGAAGACGGTACATGATTAGCAGCGCCAGGTGTATATGCTACTGCAATGTATGCAAGCTTAGCGTTATCTGAGGCATCGCCAGATGTCCGATCCTGGTTGGTATACCACAGCCAGTACACCGTGACATAGCATATAGCAATATCGGAAAACGAAAATAGCATATGAGGTTTTTTATAGAGACTCCATGCCGATTGAAGCGATACGAAAAGAGCAGCGACACGCCCCTCCTAAATATCAAGGTTGTGACCGATTAACAATAATGATGCATTGGATTACCCGACGGCCGAGATGCATAGAGGTCCAGCAAAAGGTATCAGCTCCTCGCTGGGGTACAAATCGTTTTTGCCTGATCCGAATGGTACCGGTGTCGGTGGTGACTGAGACGGCGAGCTGCTGCTTATCGCTTTTTGTCGCACTCACGCGGACGTACTGTTTGTGCTTCGCTGTGCGTTGCTAGCCAAACGGAATGCTGTCATATCAATACAATTCCCTTGAGCATGACCGATGGTTCGAATGCAAGTCCCATGTGAGCATATCAAGCTGGGAAGCCGCACACATGCACATCTCGTCAGCCCAATGTGGCGGTGCGAGATGCAGCCAGGTACGATCAAACCACGCGTCACTTTCCCATCAAAAGTCCAGTCAACCGTGTCTGATCCCGCGCCACGTATATAAGACGCCCCCAATTGCATCCCGCTTTCTCTATCTTCTCTATCAGACCGTTTACCACTTTGTACACTGAAACAACACACAGCACTTACAATGTTCAACGCCATCAACCACCTCCGCGCCAGGGTCGCCACCTTGTTCGCCGCCACCCCCGCCTCTTTTGCCCGTGAGTCTGCCGTGACGGAGCCTGTCAGCCACGCCTCGCACGCTGGCGTCTCCTCGGAGCGCAGCGTGCAGGTAGTTCCCGCTGGCAGTGTCAGCGCTCCTGCGTTCGTCCACAGCGACGACGGCATCGACGTCGCGGTCAATCACGTCTTCCACGCGCACGACGCGCTCACCACGTCTACCCACTGGGTGGAAGACGACTACCTCATGACTGTCAGGAAGACCACCTTGCTCGATGAGCCCGCCCGTACCGTGAGTATTTTGGGCGCCCATCCCGCCTTTTGAAAAGTGGCTGACGGGAAAATAGTGTGCCAATCGCCAATCCGCGCTCTCTTCCGCCTCTTCTTCTACTTCCACTGCTCTTGGTCAAGGCCGAGGCGCTGGTATCGATAATATTAACATCACCTCTGCCACCGGTACTCACGCCGACCGCCAAGCTCAGTCCCGACCATCCTCTGGCCCTGCTCCTCGACGACGTCAGCTTGACTTCATGAACGCCACCCACGCTCCCTACCCCCGTGGCTCTACTCGCGTTCAAGTCATTGCTCGTCACCGAGAGCAGATCAAGGTCACGTCCGGTGCCATCCGAATTCCCACCGCCAATGGCTCTACCCGTGCCGTCATCAATGGCCCGCGAGTCTCGGTGGCTGCTCTCTGCAACGCGCTTTCTGGTGCCACACCTGCTACTGCCACCGCCTCGTCCTCTCGCTCTGTCTTTGCTCCAGATGTCATCCGCCGTGCTGAGTCTCCTGTCGGCTCTGATCGAGCCATCGCCATCCGTCCCAAGCCTTCTTTCTCTTCTGCTCCGCGGGTTGCCCCTCCAGCTCGTCTTTCCCTTCGAGGCCCTCCTCCTGTCAGAACCATTCTCAAGCGGAGAATCAACGAAGTGCGTCTGCTCATCTCAATCACGGCTGCCGTTACTGACCATATCATCAGGTCCCGAACGACGATACCGAATCTGAACTGGCTCGTATCCCCAAGCGTACGCGCGTCACCCCGCCTCTTCAGCTCGTTGTTTCAGCGCCTCGTCAAGTTTCTTCTTCATCATCTACATCTTCCTCCCCCGCATCCGACATCATCCTCACTCCTCCCCACCAGGATGTCGCTCTGCCCGTTGACCCGCCCTCTCCCAGGTGCACTAAGCGCACCGGTGATCAAGTGAGTCAACCTGTCCCTCTGTCTTTGCTTCCCTCACTGATTATCATCCCAGGTTGACGAAGATGCCGATGCCCAGAACGAGTCCTCTTCTGAACTTCCCAGGGTAACCAAAACAATTCGCTTCGATACCGTCCCTGCTTCCGCTGGTGATGCCAACTACTCCAGGGCCGACACCCGAACCGCCTTTGTATCTCCGCCTCGGGCCTTCTTGCTTGGCGCACCTCCATTTTCGCCCCTTCCAAGCCATACGGTCGTCCCGGAGACTGTCACGGCTCAAGGCACTCGCGCTACGTTTGCTCCTCCTCCTCGTGCTTTCATGGTCGGGGCGCCTCCTTCCACCCCTCTGCCCTGTACCTCCGGCAGAGAGTCATTCCTCGCCCGAGGTGCTGCAGCTGCAGCGCCTCCATCATATTCTCGCGGGGCTCTCAGCAGGTCTGAATCAGATCTGCCTTTAGTGTCCCTTCTTGAGCTGGTGACGGGCAGGTCGTCCAGTACTTCGCGTGTAAACTGTATGTCCTCCTCGTCCTCGCGAGACGACTTCATACTGACCTGATTACAGCTTACGAAGCATGACACGAATAATTGAGAAGACCGCCCTCAACACTCACACTATCATACATGGAGTCGCCCCTGTCTGTAGAGCTCTTCTACTCCCTCCCCTCTTCAACACTGTCCTCATCTTACTTCTCCATGCTTTAGCCCCATCACAGGCTCAATCTACTTCCCGCTAATAGAAGCTTGCTCCCCGTGAGACTTTCTAGTGTAACGTCTTCCCAAAACAGCTCACAAAATCGATCGCTGATCAACATCCACAGCCAACATCCGCCATCAAACTGACCAGTGACAGCAACACCACCTCCTCCTGGACCCTCGCACTCTCAACAATGTACCGGTCATTCGCGCTCTTCAAGTTTGTCCTTTGCCTCTCTTGATTTCTGTCTTTCATTCCTCCCCTTCTCTATTTGCACGAAGCGTGATCTCTTGTCGTGTCTTTCCGTTTCGGTGTCTGTTTTCCTGTCTCGGGTTTCTTGTCTGGAGAGTCGAGTTGACTTCTATTTGTCTGCTTCATCGTCGTAGGTAAATAGTAGACCTACAATAATACATCTCAAGAGAGTAGTGGTGATAGTAGTCGACGTAGCTCCCATGGTCTATCAGTACCCCATAGATGACGAGTAGCCTTTGTATAACTGTAGTAGATACTTGGTAGATACTCGCATTTGGCAGCGATAGCCTCGGGAGCTTCTCACTTTTGTTGTATCCTCGTAATAGCTATTCATCACCACAGTCAGGCAATACCACGCTATATACCCTTTCATACTTCTTCGCAGTATTTTCCATAGTAGAAACACTTACGCCCGTCGTCTTATATACCCCTGTTCATATCATTGTACTCGTACTGTACGAGTACTATACCTCCATACGTATCTAGCTGCTGAGTTTATGTGCATGTATCTCCTCGGTTTTCTACTTTTCAGAACTAAATGTAAACCGATTACAATTGTAAGTACTCGTACTCGTAGGGTACGAGTACTCTGTACTCTACGAGTACTGTACATGCATATACTAATCAGTGGCGTCGCTCCCCTCCTCCTCGCGGTCATCATCAGCCGGGCTACTACTGGAGTCATCGGATTCTTGTTCTCCAGAACCTTCGTCCCGTTCCACATCCCATACAACGATTCCTTCCTTGTATACCGCTTGCGCAGCACAGGCATTGACCAGTTCCTCAATGTTGTTGAGGCTTTCTTGCCGGGACTCGGAGTTTAATACGCTCCAGGATTCCGGTCGTCGTTTGAAATTTGCAAGAGTGTTTTTGACCCTGCTTCCAAACCGACGGGAGATATCTGCAAAAGGTGCGGATGCGTCGTACTTATAATGGGATAGTTGAGATTGCCACAGTGTCACCGGTTCGTCGTCGTAGCCCAGCTCCTCGTAAGGCTTTGCCGAGATGACGAAGTGTGTTCGAGCCACGCAACTGTCATCAGGGATGTGTACCGAGTAATCTTGTTCAGAATTGGACATTCTATGCTCTTGGTTCTTGGGCTGGGTGGCGGTGATGAAAAAGTTGACTGTTGTGGCTTGCAATCACGGCCTTCTTATACCATAGCATGAGCGCACTATAGCTGGCTTCTAAATTGCATCGAGATTTGGCTCTGGTACGGTCTGAGGGCAAGTGAACAGGAGGCTCAGAAATACTGTTAGCATCATTTGCCAATGGTAGGCTACGGCACGGGACAAAAGAGACTGCGATATACATTCAAGCGGAGCTACAAAAGGGGGTCACAGATGAATATCAGCCTGCAATATGTGGTATGGGTTCCCAGAATGCATCATCAAAGAAACCTTTGATGATACACGTCGAAGCAAAAGTCAGACGGCCTGCGCAGAGCTTTATGCGTACATTCACAGCTGTCAAGCAATTTGAACTCAGCTCTAGCAGCAAGGGACATGGCCCTGATCAGAACAAGAGTGGGGTATGGCACCAGTATCTTCGACGACGTGGAAGGCTCGAGGTCCGAGCGTCTGAGATGATGTGGAAACTAATGCATATGGTCAAAATCCCTGTCGTAATACATACAAGACATATCCTCTTTCTCTCCACTCTACATCCATCGACCAAGCATATGTCCAAGAGGCCACAAGACGGTCTCTTAGAAAGCCCCAACCTTTGCACCATTCTCCAGCAGCTTCTTCCTACCCTCTCCTCCGAAAACAGATTTCCAAAGCTCGTCTCGTACTTCGGGAAGAGTAAGGATAGTGCGTGTTTTGGAGTCTTGGTGGGAGATGTCGAGGAGCAGGGTGGTGTGTTTTGTGATTTTGAGCGCCCCTGGAGATACGTCAGTCCGATGTTCAAACGTGAGCGCAGGCAGAGAACATACCTTCAGCAAGGAGTTTGCCCACACGGGATGGGGTCCCCACAGCAATGGAAACTTTTGTTCGGGCGAGGTAGTTGACCTGGTCGGCCACCTTGAAGTGTTTGGCGAAGAGCTGGCAAGATAGTCAGAGACGTTCACGAAACGAAACACTAAGGAGCGCGCTATGCTCACCTTTACAACTTCTCCCTCACCCTTGACATCCCGCACAGCCCTCACCACATCGGCACATCTCAATCCACTAAGGGCCAGTATGATGACCTTTGGTGTACCATTGCTCTTGGGTGCCTTCTTGTTCTCGATAAGGGTATCAAGCTTCTGTTGCAGGGGCTTGAAAGGATTGCTGGGGTTGGCTATGGGCGCGGGATATGATGGTGGGGGAAGGATGTTGTCTTGGGGGATGATGATGTCTTCAATCTCCATGGCAGTCCCTGACGGATACGACTCGCGGATCGAGCGCAGGAGGATGGCTGAAAGGTCTTCTTTGGCGAGATGGGTGGGGGCGCTGGATGCACCAGAAACTTTATCGGCATTCTGGCGTTTCTACTACTCGTATTAGACAATGTACTGGAATGACAACAACTGTGTGACTCACCTTCTGCTTCCTCTCCTTCTCTTTCTCCTTCTTTCGCCTCTTCTTGTCCGCCGCTTTGGCCTGTTCGTCGTCCGCAGCTGCCGGCGCATCTACCGTCTCATCTTCTTCCAGCTTTCGTTTCTTGCCTTCAATCACCGGGCTCATAGAGATTTCTGTCTCTTCACCCTCGATCACGTATTGGGGAGCTCCCCCATCTCGGACATCCTCTTGCTCATCGCCAATCTCCGAGCCGGCCTCAGAGGCAACGTCTTCAGCGTCAGAGTCGGCCAGGAGGTCTTGGTCGTAGTCAAGACCATCGTCGAGGTCGTCTCCACCGGTCTTGATGGCCTTGTTTGTCTCCTGCACCATTGTGGTAACTGAAGTATAAAATCAACTTGTCAACAAACAAACTGATCACACTTTTTCGTTGCCTCCACCGCGGGGGCCGGTCTTCAAAGTGGTTACGTAAACTGATTTCATCTACTATCGACGCGATCACGGCTTCGTTGGCCAGCGCGAACGATATTTGTTGTTGCAACTGTAATCCATAAGTTACTCAGAAAAATGGCCCAGGATCCGTCTCTGTGGGTCACAGGAACCTCCCTTGGTCTTCAGGCCCTTGTACCCATCGTCATCGGCTCTTACAAGTCGCTCAAAGTACGTCCCCGTAGTCCTCAAGACGTTTCACTGATTCATTGACAGACACCAGAGGACACCAAGAGGAGGCTCAGAAATGCCCAAAAGGGAAAAATCCCATTGGAATCAGACGAAGATGAAGACGATGGTTTAGAGGAGCCATTGACATGGTGGGACTCGCTACTGTTTCCAGTCATAGGATCGGTGGTCTTGTTGGGCTTTTACGGGATCGTCAAGTACTATGGAACCGAATGGCTGAATCGGTTCATGAACGCGTACTGTGAGTCTAGTCCCTCAACTACTCAAGAACATTACTGACGCTAAATACAGTCAGCATAGCCGGTGTATTCGCGATACAGTCTGTACGTGGCTAGGACCTGACACGTATACTGGACTAATCATGTCACAGACGTTCTCCACGATATTATCCTTCCTGCTTAGCGCCCTTGGCGTCACGTCTACAATCTACCATGTCCGCGTGTCTTCGGGATTCCGACGTGAGTTGATGGGCGACTTCACCGGGGGCGAAGCTCATCACGCTTTCAGAGATTTTCCATCTGCCCGTCACTCTCTCCTCTCTGTTCCTCATCCCCGTCGCCATCTCGATCCCTGCGGCATATATCTACTTTGGCAAGCCCTACATCCTGTCAAATATCCTCGCTCTTAGCTTGTCCACTGAGACTCTGGGTCTCCTAAAGTTGGACTCTTTTGCAACAGGATTCATGCTGCTGGGAGCATTGCTCGTATACGATGTCTTCTGGGTAAGTCCTGCTTCCTCTCGTCATTCATGCAAGCTGATCATACCTAAGGTCTTTGCCACACCCGTCATGGTCACCGTCGCTAAGACAATCGACGCCCCTATCAAAATCCTCTCTCCCAAAACATCCCCCTTCGCCTCCCCCACAAAGTTCTCCATGCTCGGTCTGGGTGACATTGTCGTCCCCGGCCTCATCATTGCTCTTTGTCTCAGATATGACCTCTACCGCTACGCGCAAGCTCACAAGGGTCAGAATGTCACCCCCAAGAGCAAGTTTGGAAGGGGTTATTTTAATGTGGCGGTCTTGAGTTATGTATTGGGTTTGGGCGTTACTATGGCTGCGATGGGATGGAGTGGACGGGCTCAGCCTGCGTTGCTCTATTTGAGCCCTGCTTGTAGTGAGTCTGTCGCGATATCTGCTGGGTTCTTGCTAATGCGCTTCCCTAGCCCTGGGGCCTCTTCTCTACGCCGCTGTCCGAGGAGAGCTCTCCCAACTCTGGGCATACTCTGAATCCTCAAAAACCCCCGAGGACCAGAAGCTTCTCGATTCCACCATCGAAGCCGCCTCCGAAGCCGCCATCAAAGCCCGGGCTGAAGCCAAGGCTGCTGAGGCTGAGGCTACTGTCGCTGCCAATGGGCTCGACGAGAAGGCGGAGCAGAAGGCGGAGGACGATAGCTGGATGAACGATGGGGCTGGTGTTGGAACGTCAGAAGCAAAGCCGAAGAAGAAGAAAGGAGGCAAGAAGAAGTAGATGCGAGAGGCTGCCCATGACTAAAACGTGCGCACTTCATCATGTGCATGCTTGATTAGTTCAAGTGTATCAACTGCCCAGCTTAGATCTTATGCATTGTCATAATCGCTACCCAAACAACAGCTACCTGGAGAATTGCTCTGAACAGCATCTGCTAATTGGGTCTCTCACATCTAACCTCTTTCCGGACCGTCTGTAGCGCCACTTCCTTGCACTCTTGTGATACGACTCTCTGGCAGATCCAGTGAAATGATGCTCCAGTCCACAGTCCCCACTTTCTCCGTCTCTGCCTTCTTTGCATACGTCCTCACCAAATCCTCCATCGCCTGGCAACTTTCCTTCTCCGTCGGTCTTGTATAGTGCTCTTTGTTGATCAAGTTGCTGCTCAGGAAAGTGTCGACAGAGTTCAGCACCTCGGTACCTAAAAGCTCTGCTTTTTCCCGCATCCTTGACCTGGAGGCGTCATCGGCCGAGAACGAGACTGATGGACTGTACAGTGTGTGACCGACACTCTTGGCCGTGACCTCTGTCGGGGCGGTCGAAACAGTAAAGGCCGTCCGGGGAAAGATGGAAGCTTTGGACGAAGGGGTTACTTGTGGCATGGTCGGTTTGTTGGATGCAGCTCTGTATAGTACTCGTATGTACTGTGCGAATGATGAGAAAGAGACCAGCATCTCGCTTTCACACTTCGTCAGCCATAAGCACCATCTCAACGGACCTCCCTTGTGAGAATGACTCCAAGGGTTTTCCTGGGCGCCGCACAATGGATCGCCGGGGCCCAACTTCACTACAAGATAAGGAAGTGACCCGTGGCAAAGGTGAGGGCCCCTTCTCTTACAGGGCCTGAGGCCTTCGATGAGAAGAACCTAGTTCCCGTATCAGTCAACGTGTACTTCTACACACACAGAAGACCAGAATGGTGGGGAACTACTAGGGAACAAATCTATGTGAGTATATATGGCGCCGTCTGTCACACGTAGTAATTCCCTGAAGTGGCATGAGCGCGGAGTTGTGTGATTGGTCGAAGGAC